TCATCCTGTGCGATAGAGGGCGATATAATCAAAGGCTCAAAGTTGTTCTTCTGTTTTTACCTGGTTTTAGTAAAAGTCGGGATCGGAGTATTTGCTGGAGCCGGAGTTACTTATCGAAATTGAGAGGGTTTTTTTATGCCCTTTCCATTCAGCGGCCGCTGAGCATAGCTGGTCTGGGTTGTGTGATGCAGACGAGCTCATAGACATCGCTGGGTGTTGGAGTTCACTCATTCGACTGTCCCGTTTTACTGATGTCCGACTGCGCTTCCGCCATGTTGAGYTGATTCAAGTTGTGACTGCTGGGACCGAGGTGACAACAAGCTCCAGAAACCGGATAGATAGATAGTGTTAGGGGGGTTGTTACGGCACCGGTGACGCAGGAAAAACACTCAGAAGCTAAGGGGAAAACGTAGGGATCCGTTCTTTTTAGTAACAAGATTGTGTCCTGCGAAACCGACACTAATACAGGCGACGTTTATGTAATATAAATACAACGACACCACCGAGAGGGGAAGTCATATCAAATTCCTGGTGAGTTGTTAGCCGAGCTAGTCAAGGTAACATTACTGTATTTGGTGTTACTTATATTTCTCAGTCTCTGTTACGGTTYTCTTTGTTAGCTACGGTGTCAGCGTGATTACATTTTAATTAACGGACAGAATAAATGTTTTCCAATTAGCATGTCCTGTTAGCATCGCCGATGCTAACTACTCGCAGAAGGGCCTGACTACACACTGAAAACGAACATTTCCTTTTAATGTGCCGTGTTTACAAGTTGAAGACATGTATGTACGGTACCATTCAATGCGAATTTAAAAATGTTCTATTGTATATGGAAAACAATAGGGATCCTAAAATGTTGTACCTCCTGGGTGTCCGAGGTTTTATATTTTTAAGTTTCTTTTAGCCGTGTTACAACTTGAAGTATCTGAAAACCCTGTTCATTTCCAGGAAATAGACGACTCCCATGTCACTATTAGTAACTAATTTGGAATAGTGAATTGACTTCGCGTTTAGTTTAAGCAAAAATGTCATTGTGTAGGTTAAACACTAATAGATTGTCGAGTTGTGTCTTTAAGGTGGCTTGTTTAATTGTATTTTTTGAAATATTTACTCTTAAGCTAACAGCCTGCTAGCATTTAGATCGGCTCGTCTTCTTAGCACGACTGCTGCTCGTTGCAAATGGCGTTCATGACACTTAGTCAGCAAGAACGTTGTTCACGAAAATGTTTGATCGATAATTTTAGCTACCAAGAAGCTTCAGTGTGTGTTTAAAGTCTTCAGTTTTGCAGCAAATGCTTGAAGAGCGAGTATAACTGCAGGCCTGTAGAAGCAGTGAGGCCTGTGTATGTGTCAGCGCAGTGGGCTTTGAAGGCCCAGAAACTACCTCTCCGCTTTCTGGGCGGATCGACCCGCAGCCGAACCTAACCAGGCGTTTACGACCATAACCACCAGCTACCACATACTGGTCGGTTCTTGTAAATGCATCTCGATCATGTGTAGCTTTGAAGAAAGTACAAGACGAATAATTCATTGTTATGCAACCGATTTAATCGTCAACAAGAAGATGTCTGTAAATAACCAGGAGGCTAATATTTCAAAGCCGGCGTTGCACCTCGTTCTGTGACCCAAATCCTAAACGAGTTTCAAGTGTTGGGTTACAGAAATTATTTATTAAATCGCGTAGAATATTTTTATTATGTTACAGTAAAAAAATAAAAATAAAACCCCCTGATAACATTTGATGAAACGCACCTTTTGTGGTGCTTATTTACAATCATTAAACAAAACTGCATTATGGATCTTATCAAAAAGAAAAAAATTGTGTAGGTTTTCTGGACGGGTTCTTCTCTAATGAAACGTTTCGTCTCTTCTCCAAGAGACTTATTCAGTCTGAGAGTTTCAGGCACAAACTCTTTTTCTTTTTGATTTTTTACCTGGATTACTGAGATGCATCAGGACATTTTGAACATTTTGAGGATTGAGCAACTTAGGAATAAAGTTTCAGCCTGCCTCGGCAACGCCAAACCACCACCTTCTAATATCAGCAGAGAAGAGAGAGACGCTCTCACTACCCTCAGCAAGGACAAGAACATCATCATTCTTCCAGCAGACAAAGGAAGGTGCACAGATATTCTGAACCAGAAGGACTACGAGCCGCTGAAGAGAGATCCAGGAAGTGGTTACAAGAAGAAACTAATAGATTGCCTGAAAAGTTTAGAGC